CATGTGTTTTTGTGTATGCTCTTTCCTGTGCAGCGGCAGGGATCCCTGACTTCCGTAGCCCTGGTACGGGTCTCTACCACAACCTTCAGAAATACCACCTGCCGTATCCAGAGGCGATTTTTGAAACTGATTACTTCAAGGTGATTGTCGCTTATTTTTCTCATTTTGGATGTTAGCAGTACGCTGCACCAGAGCTAGACAAGAAAATCATGGGTGAGCTGTCGGTGCCTTACATAAAAGGATTGGTATTGTATCCTTACTGGGATCAGTTAGCTCAGGTGGTTTGTGACGCCAACAGCGTGGGTTCAGTTCCTGGACCACCTGATGTTACCATGGAGCCCCCACCTTCTCGGCCTGTTCCCTCGCTTGAGATGTGGTGAGCCTCAGGTTGAACTCCGCACCAGTCGTCCCTCGCTAATGAGAGGGCTGTCCTATGGTCCTGTGGGACTATGGTGACTTTACCTTGATACTGTGGAGTGGGAACATTGCTATACTGTCTCTGTCTTTGAGCTGATGTCTGGGAGTGTTAGGATAGACTGCTATGTTTGATCATGCTCCTTAAACTCTACTACTTTGACCAAGCTTTTGGTCACCTGACCTAATATTCCTGTGTGAATTGAAGTCATATTTACTTATATTTCTGTAGAAAAGTCTGCGACATTAAAAGATTGCACCTGCACAAGTTATTTACATTATAGTTTGGACTTTCAATGTCGGCGCTCTCCTCTCCAGGATCCAGGCTCGAGTCACGTGTCTGAAAGCTTGAGGACCCCGGAGCAACCTTGTGATGATGTCATGGAGCTGCTCCCCACCACTAATTAATAGCACAGATTGGGCAGCATCAGAAAGCTAGAAGAGGAAAGTTAGATAGAGTTCAGAGAATAGTCCTTTCATAATTTAAGAGAGGGTTTAGAGCCTGGTATATTTTAGATTCCATGGGTAAGAGTATTTGGTGTCAATATTCGACTCTGAAGAAGCCCAGGTCTAGAGACAGTTCTTGACCTTGCCTTTTTGCGACCAGTCTGTCTTGAACTCAAACTCTTGGCAGTGGGTATAAAACCGTAAAACAAACCATCCCATTCCAGGGTTGGAATGGTCAAAGCTGACGTTTCAGTGCTGTACTGAAGGAGCACGATACTGTCGGAGATACTGTCTTTCAGATAAAACTGAAGCCCCGTCTGCTTGCTATGGCACTACTTTTAGCGGAGAGGTAGGGAGTTCCCCTTAGTGTTGTGACCAATTTTTATCTTTCAATCAACATCTAACAAACTGATTATCTGATCCTTATTGCATCAGTAATTGTGGGAGCTTGCTCTGTGTAAATTGGGTGTGGCATTTCCAGCATTACACTGGTGACTTCTAAAGTATTTCACCGACTTATGATGTCAGACGACGTGAAAGCCTTTTTTAAATGCTGCTGGTATAAGAAACAATTCACCATACCAGTGAAGACACGTTATTGTATCTGTCTCTCCATCCCATTATTCTTCCGGTCCCATCTTTGTCATTCAAGAAAGATGATGTTCAGGGAAACTTCTGTTTTGGAGTAATGGGGGAATATGGAGCTATTATTGTGATGTTGTAGACTGGCCCTGTACTTTTGTTCCTTAAGGCAAGTTAAAGTTTCTCCATTGTAAGGAATTGAACACCCACATGGCTGTGACTGCCTGTGGATTTCATGTGTTACTTTATTAATGTTTGTGACATTCATCTGTTATATTTCAGCAACATCCAGAACCATTTTTTGCACTGGCAAAGGAGCTGTACCCCGGACAGTTTAAGGTAAGGATTTTCTTCATCTCAGTCGTAAATGCTTAGATTGAGATCCCTGGTTCTGGATGTTGTGAGCATCCTTCCTGCATCTACCCTGTCTACTCCTCTTAGCATTTTATAGGTTTCTGTGAGACTGCGCACACGCACACACCTGCATTCATCCGAGCTACAGTGATTATACTCCTAACCAGTGCCACCATCCCAGGAATCAGCCTAGTAAATCTTTGTCACACTGCCACTATAGTCAGAGCTGCCTCCTTCAGATAAGGAACCCAAAACTGCGCACAATATTCCAGCTGTGGCCTCACCAAGGCCCTGTATAATTTCAGTGAGACATCCCACTCCTGTACGTAGGCAGAGGGTTTATGAAAGCCAACTTACCATTTGCCTTCATTACTATCTGCTGCACCTGCATGCATACTTTTAGATGCTGCTGTACACCCAGGTCTGTTAAAGCAGTAGGGATACTGCAATTACACCCAGTGCTCTGTAGGCTAAGAAAGTAAATCTATCTTCAGTGTAAAACAGGGACAAGCTTTGAACAAAACACATTCTCGTTACGCTTTATGTCTTCTTTAATAATGAACACATCTCTTCTGCAGCCCACGGTTTGCCACTATTTCATGCGGATGCTAAGAGACAAGGGACTGCTGTTACGCTGTTATACACAGGTAGGAAGCACCGTGGTTGACTATTTCATTCCCATTTTTACTAATGGTTCGCAAACTGGGTGCTCTCCTAAAACAAAGCCAAAATGCTGTAGATGCGGGAGTTCTGAAATAAAAGCGGAAAGTGCCCAAGAAACTCAAGAACTGAAGTTTCTGATGAAGAGGTCGATCAGATTTTAAAACATTAACTGTTCCTCTGCGCACACTGATGCTGCCAGACCTGCTGAGTTCTCCAGCACTTCCTGCTTTTATTGTGGGTGCTAACCTCATCTGGCTGGGAGCATTCAAAGGCACAGGCATTCTCCATAGACTTCCTCTCCCCCTAGAGTTTATTTTATATATATTTGTTAAAATGTGCATTAAAAGTGCAGCAGTGAGGTTGGAATGTTATAGTTCACTTGGCGGGAGCCATGTTGCTATGACAACAGCCAGTTTTTACAGACATGTTGCGGTCTGGAGCTATGGGCAGAGATGGTGGAGGCTCCAGACCTCTTCCCATATTACAGCTGACCAGGAATATCTCTCATTGATCTGTGACAGAACAGTCTGCCCATCTTACGAGCAAACCTTCCTTTGCCACCAACTCCTGGAATGGGACTCGAGCCTGAAGCTTCTGTCTCAGAGGCAGGGACACTACCCACAAGGGCCACAATTCAGTAACAGGGACTGTAAGAATGAAAGCAGCAAATTATGTGGTTTTCCCCTCCCATTGCTTCTAGTTGTCTGCCATCTTGTGCAATTTTCAATCTTCAATCTCCACAGTGGCCTAAATGTAGATTTTTACCAGTTTTAAAATCTCCCCACCACCAGCGTCATCCCATGTCCAACCCTCCCTCTCATTCCCCCCACTCCTTGACCTGACACAACCTGTCCATCTTCTCTCCCACCTATCCACCTCTCCCATCCCACTGACCAATCCCCACCACTGCCTACCTGCACTCCCCTATCACCATCCCACCTACCTTCCCCAGCCCCACCCCTCCTCTCTCTATTTATTTCTGAGCTCCCTTCCCCCTCCCCCATTTCTGAAGAAGGGTCCCAACCCAAAAAGTCAACTTTCCTGTTCCTCTGATGCTGCCTGGCCTGGTGTGTTCCTCCAGCTCCACACTGTGTTAGCTCTGACTCCAGCATCGGCAGTTCCTACTATCTCTGCAATCTTACTGTTGGCTCTGGTCCCACAAGTGTGTCGAAAACAGAAGACGAAGGAAGTATATTTGCCTAATTAACAGTGATCAGGAGAGACCTATCTACCCAGTTTAGGGACCTGCTTGGCCGCTGGCTGTCCACACATGTCAGAAGCAAGCTTTGCCTAAAAGCGTCCATTAAAGTGACCTCAGTGAGGAATTGGATTCTGACCATTTATCTGTCCCCTTGGAAATGCTGGCTCCCCTTGAAGATGCAGTTACCTGGTAGCGGGTCACAGTTTATTAATTAGCCTAGGCAGTTTCAATATGTGTCATTAAACTATTTCACTACAGAGGCATCACAAGCAACCCTCCCCATCTTTTCTTCACCCTACACCTAATAGCTGAGCTGTGGCTCAGTTGGTCATACCGTCACCTTTGAGGCTGAGGGTCCTTGAGGACTTAAGTTCAACAATCCCGGCTGATATTTCAGTGCAGGAGCAGTGAAGGAGCAAATACAGAGAATGCTGGAGAAACACAGCAGGCCTGCCAGCATCTGTGGAGAAAGGAGGAGTGTTAATGCTTCAGATCTGATATGACTCTTCTTCAGAAAGTAGGGCGGGATGGTGGCTCAGTGATTAGCACTGCTGTCTCACAGGGAGTTGGTTCAGTTCCACTCTCAGGTGACTATCTGTGTGGAGTTTGCACGTTCTCCCCGTGTCTGTGTGGGTTTCCTCTGTGTGCTCCAGTTTCCTCCTACAGTTCAAAGATGTGCAGATTAGGGTGGATTGGCCAGGCTAAATTGCCCCACAGAGTCAAAGGATGTGTAGGTTAGGTGGGTTAGCCATGGGAAACACAGGGTTACAGGGATAGGGTGGTGGGACCTCTTCACAAGGTCAGTGTGGATTCAATGGACTGAATTGCCTGTTTCCACACTATTGGGATTCTATCATCTTTTCTTTCTCATGTTAATTAAGGAATAACAGTTGGTAGGCCCACTGGTATGAACCCAAGATAACACCAAATCATTCTTGTAGCATTGACCTGAACAGGCAAACGTGACTGTGTTTATTGTCTAATTTTGAAAATTGGCACTTAGGCAGTGCAGCACTCCCTCAGTATTGCCCTGGAGTTTCAGCCTTGACTTATGTGCTGAAGCCCTGGAGTTGGGTTTGAACCCAGAGCTCAGTGATTCCGAGGTGAGAGCCACTGACCCACAGCTTGACAACAGAGCACAGGTAACTCCTATCAGTAACTGTACCTTTCCCCTCTTGTTTGCTGTTTTATCACTTGAGATGTTGTTGAGTCAAAGCTATTTGCATTAAAAGGCATCTGGATGGGTATATGGATAGGAAGGATTTAGATGGATATGGGCCGAATGCTGATAAATGGGACTAGATTAATTTAGGATATCTGGTTGGCATGGACCAGTTGGACCGAAGGGTCTGTTTCCATGCTGTACAGCTCTAAGACTCTATGTTGCTATTGAGGGAGAGCAGTGAATTTGGAATTGGAATTAACGCCCTTGACTCTTGTGTGAAAGAACACTCTTTCTAGCATCAAACCTTTGCTGTTATTTTTCCTGACTGCTCTGTTTTAGAACATTGACACCCTGGAGCGTGTAGTTGGGCTACAGGATGAGGACTTGATAGAGGCACACGGGACATTCCACACCTCCCATTGCACTAACCGCGCATGCAACAAGCTGTACAGCTTGGAATGGATGAAAAGTAAGTCTGCCTTCCTACACCCCTCATCAACCAAAGTACCAGCATCATTACATTGTAACCGTTATAAGGGCTCAGTAAACCAGTACTCGGATACTTTTCTGACAGCGCTTCCTCAGCCTTGCACTGCATTGATAGCCTGGGTTATCCATTCAAATCTCCAGAGATTTTGTTTTTATTACTCCTTCACAGGATGTGCTGGCAAAGACATTTGTTGCTCTTCCCCAGAGATAACACAGTGTGGAGCTGGAGGAACACAGCAGGCCGGGCAGCACCAGAGGAGCAGGAAAGTTGACGTTTCGGGTCGGGACCCTTCTTCAGAAAAACGTCAACTCTCCTCCTCTGATGCTGTCTGACCTGCTGTGCTCCTCCAGCTCTGCACTGTGTTATCTCTGACTCTAGCATCTGCAGTTCTTGTTATCTCTGTTGTTCTTCCCAAATCAAGTTCATAGGAATTAAGAACGCCTTTCACCACTTTGAGCCTGCTGCGCCATTTTATAAGATGGTGGCTCACCTAGCTCCACTTTCCCCTGTCTGTCCCTATTAACCTTGCCAGTCAAGAATCTAGTCCCCTTGAGAAAGTGGTGGCCTCCTTGAACCGCTGTAGCCCGTGTGGTGTAGAGACTGCAACGTTGCTATTTGGGGAGGAATTCCAGGATTTTGACCCAGCGACACTGAATGATCGGGGATTTTTCCAAATCAGGGCGGTGAATGACTTGGAGGGGAGCTTGCAGGGGGTGGTGTACCCATGTATCTGCTGCCGTTGTCCTACTCGAAGGTAGAGATCGCGGGTTTGTAAGGTGTTGTCAAAGCAGCCTTGGTGAGCTCCTGCAGTGCCTCTTGTAGCTGGTACATGCGGTTGGCACATGAGTGGGCAGTGGAGGGAATGAATGTTGAAGCTGGTAGGTGGGGTGCCAATCAAGCGGGCTGCTTTGTCCTGAATGCTGTTGAGTGTTGTTGGACCTGCACCCATGCAGGCAAGTGGGGAGTCAGAAGTCTTTATTCATTCATGGGATGAGGATGTCGCTGGCTAGGCAACATTTATTACCCCATCCCTAATTGCCCAGAGGGCAGTTCAGAGTCCACCACATTGCTGTGGGTCTGGAGTTGCATGTAGGCCAGACCGGATAAGGATGGCAGTTTCCTTCCTTAAAGGGACATTAGTGAACCAGATGGGTTTTTCGGTAATGGATTCATGGTCATCATTAGATTCTTAATTCCAGATATTTTTATTGAATTCAAATGGCACCATTTGCCATGGCGGGATTCGAATCCAGGTCCCCAGAACATTATCTAGGTCTCTGGATTAACAGTCCAGTGATAATACCACTACGCCCTTGCCTCCCCGGCAGCGCTTCAAAAGCTTGTGATTTTAAATAAACCTGTTAGAGTGTAACCTGGTGTCGTGAGACTTTTGACTTTGTTCATCCCAGTCCAACATTGGCAGCTCCACATCAACTGGGGATCGAGAGTGTGACTGTTACTACTTTGCCTGAGGTATTTGTAGAGGCATCTCGGTATCTAAATTAGTTAAAATTTTCAGTAAATCTTCAGCAGCAAAACAGGGACTTGAAGCTTTCCTTGTCATGACCTTGCTTCACAGATCAACCCTCACTGTCAGTTGTAAGGTCAAGAGCAGTTGTCAAGTCACATGCAATGTTTGGGTAACATGGTTATTCCTTGGGCCCTGTGATATGATGAGCATAATATTCGGATCACAAAACACAATGTTGTGCAGTGTTGACTGTTGCATTGTTTCAGTGACAGATGCTAGTAGATCTCGTGAGCCTTTCCAGCAATTTCTGTTTTTGTAACTGTGCAGTGCTAACCTGAATAGACATCTCATGGGACAAAGCCACTTCCCTGCAATAGGGGGCGCTGCCATTAAAGAAAACACTCTATATAACTCCCCCTCTTTTTTTCTCTCTGTTCCCCTTCTCACATAGAAACTTGTTTTTGCAGTGCGGTCACTCCCTTGATATGAACACACACATTGTACCTGGTTTTAATTGTATCTTGATCACTTTTCATGGCTGCATATTACAAATACCAGCTTTTTGTACAATAATGTCCACACAGTGCTTCGTTGACTGTCGGGCATTTTTCACACATCCAATGTACATGGCAGGTGCTGTATGAATGCAAGTCTTTTTTTTTAGCTTGGTTGTGACTTTGGGACATCCCAAGGATTTGAATAATTTAACATCTCATCTGAGAGAGGGCATGTCCAACATTGCAGTACTCCCTCAGCGCTGACCTTCTGACGGTGCGCCGCTCCCTCCAGAATCACCCTAAAGTGCACAATGCTCCCTCGGTCCTTGCATTTATAGAACACCTTATTGTCACTGAAGCAGATAAATAAATATATAAGATCCCATTGCACTTTTAAATAGAAGCACTATAATTTTCTCAGTTTACCTGTTTTTAAAAAAAAATCTTCCATGGGACATGGGCATTATTGGCAGGGCCAGCATTTATTGCCCTCAAACTGAATGGCCTGCTCAAGTCAACCACATTGCGAGATTTTGGAATCACACATAGGGCCATCCTGGCTGAGTGAGAATGATGGATTTCCTTTGAGCTGCTGATTGGTTTTAATGGCCGTCAGTGGTCACCTTCATGTTTATCAATTCAATTTAAATTGGACCAGATGCTGTGGGGGGATTTGAACCCATGAGCCTAGAGAAATGACATGGGCCCCTGGATTACTACTCTAGTGACATTACCACTGTACCACTGTATTTTTTTACCCTTTTTTCTTAGTTAATCCCATATGTAACCATTGTGTAATACAGTATTTTGTAATGCTTGATTGCAGTTTTATGATGTGCATTCAGTTGCTAATCTAATATTTCCCTTTTTTTTTTAAATAAATCCATCAAATAGCACAGATCTTCACAAAGCCATTGCCAAAATGTGAAGAGTGCGATTCTGTGGTGAAACCTGGTGAGTAAAATCAAACAAGGTGGAAAATGCCCTTTGGTCAAATCTCGCCACAGACAAATTTAGATGGTGGCGTTAATGGACTGCTATATTCAGTGTTACTTGGAAGAGGAGGAGGCCATTCAGCCCCTTGAACCTCCTCTGCTGTTCAATTACATTTTGATTATGGAGGGTAATGGGGAATCGGCAAGAGTTTCTGATACTGAATCACAATCCATGCTGGGAATCTGAATACATGCACGAGGATGGAATCCCGCTGTCATGCAATATCCTCCACAGTCTCTGCCTCTTGGCATTCCATATCAATAAGAGACCATTTGGACAAGATACCAGTGAATGCTGGGTGCTGATGAAACATTATCTCGTGCAAAAATCATGGTCAGTGTAAAGGAGAAGGATTATCGATGGGAAGATAAATATTACTATCACATTGGTGTCATCTTATGGGCATACTAATCTATTCCGGGAGACAATATACTATTCTTCCACAGTCTCATTTCCACTCTCATGGAGTCACTCTGTCTCTGTGTCTCCTCCGTTTGGAATCTGGGACACAAAATGTGGTTCCAAAAAAGAGTCGTACCAGACTCGAAACATTAACGTTGTTTCTCTCTCCTCGGATGCTGCCAGACCTTCTGAGTTTCTCCAGCAGTCTCGGTTTTGTTTTTATACATTCTGGGTCATTTTGCAGGCTGTAAAGGATGATTTATCGTCCGAGTCATCTCGGGGAAAACAGGTGTGCGTAAATTATGTTTTTCATTGTGCTCCTTGTCTCCTGTAGCCCAACAGAGACATATTATTCATTGCCTTGTCATAGTGGCTGTGAAAATGTGACCTTAAAACATGCCTTTAAGTTTGGGAAAGGATACTATTGTGTACTGAGTTTAATCCTTATCTCATTCCTCTAAATAGATATTATATTCTTTGGTGACAGTCTCCCCCAGCGATTCTTTCCAGCTATGGAGTCTGTAAGTACAGATGCAAATGGAATAATCAGTATTGAAATGTGATTGGTCCTGACAGAGTGTGCTTAAAAAAAAAGTTACATTAGCAAATGACAAGGCCACCCTGCTGCAGTCCATTTGATGTAGACACACACTCGCAATGCTGTTAGCGAGTAGTTCCAGGATTTTGGCCCAGCAACACTACTGAAATTCCCCAGTCAGGGAGCCATGGTGAGTTGCTGCCGTGCATCTTCTAGATGGTGTGTACTGCCGCTACTGAGCGTTGTTGGTGGAGGGAGTGAATGTTTGTGGATGTGGTGCCAATCAAATGGCCACTTAGCCCACTTTGGCCTTGAGTGTTGCTGGAGCTGCAATCATCCATGCAAGTGGGTTAGATTCTGTTGTTGGAGTCTTGCTGTGTTTGGACATGAACCGCTTCAGCATCTGAGGAGTCTCAATGATGCTGAGCGTTGTGCAGTCATCAGCGAACATCCGCTATTCTGACCATATGATGGAGGGAAGGTCAGCAATGAAGCAGCTGAAGATGGTTTGGCCTAGGACACTACCGTGTGGAACGGGGCGTTTATGGCACAGCGGTAGTGTCCTACCGCTGGACCAGGTGGCTTGGTTCAAGTCCCATACGTGTGTTACAACAACAGGTTAGTTAGGAAGATATGTACCTGCAGAGAGATCCCAGAGCTGGGACGGCTGAACTCCAATGACGATAACCATCTTATTTTGTACCAAACATGACTCCAACCTGTGGAGAGTTTTACCCTGATTCCCATCAATTCAAGGAAGTCCTTGATGCTACACCCAGTCACACATGACCTTGACGTTGAGGGCAGTCTCTCTGACCTCGATTGCGAGCAGAAAACCCGCAATCCTTCCAATCGGAAAAACAGCTGAGTTCTCACCAAAGTGGCCGGAACTATAAAGGAAAGAGAGCAGTTGGGATCCATTGCGTTACAGTAATTCAAGTTCTGGTGAAGAGTGAGCAATGTTTCAAAACTGCCCAGTGAGTTCCCTTGAAATGATTAGACACAGGAAGCAGCCAGTAAATGATGCACGCTAAGCGGTGAGTTTTAAGACGTATTTGAGGTTACATTGTAAAAGTTGAAAAGTCTATTATTAGTTCTTCAAGAAATTTGTTGCAGCATTTTATACTGATCTAACGTAAGGCCGTATTGGACTTTGTTACGGGAAAACACGACAATCATAAATCATTTTTCTCTGCTTGTCTGTCCTCCTGCCTGTGGAAGCATTTGCTACCTATATATTCTAAATTATTCTGTTCATTCATTCATGGCTTGTGGGCGTTGCTGGCTAGGTCACCATTTATTGCCAATCCCTAATTGCCCTTGAAAAGTGTGTTACCTTTTTGAACTGCTGCAGTCCATGTAAATTGGGGACATCCACAGAACTCATAGAGAGAGTAAATCCCTTCATAATGTTGAATATATCCATTAAATCTTCCAGTAAACCTATCTGAATTAAAGAGGATTAGTTTGATTCAGTTGTGTTATCCCAAAGTCTACTTCCTCTTTGCAAGTCCCATTCACCCTTCAGGTGTACACTGTACATTGGCTTCTCATTAAGCAACACCTCGATTTTTAAAATTTTTGTCTTTGTTTTTAAATTCCCCCCCCTCCAAAACAAAATCCGTGTCATTTCTTCTACTCCACAGCCCTCCAGGATTTCTGCACACCCCTTGAGGACTCTGTGAGCCCTTGTCTAATTATCAGTCCCCATCCAGACTGACATTCACCTGAAGATCACATGGAGCCCTCCTGGAGGATTTGGCCTGGAATCTCCAGGAATTAAAGGTCAATTTCGAGGACGCTGCTAGGCGCAAACCTGGAGTGAAGCCGAAGCATCGTGGGGAAAAAAAAATTTTGTCGTTTTCTTCAAACGTTTCTCTTTACCAGGATTAGGAAGGGTGTTGGATGTATTGGCTGAGTAATGACTGAAGCACGGGTCGGGGAGTGCAACATATGTGATGTAACCTCTGGGAATAGATTTAATCCCAGGCGGCTGCCCTGCTGATTACAGATCACTATCCCTTCTTCCGCTTTAATTAAAACTTTCAACTCTTTGGCCTTGAGAAAAGCCTTTTTAAGTTTGCCGTGTGCTTTGGCTGGAGTGTGTTTCATTGTGGCGGGTGAATATCGGTGAAATATTCTGTGGCAATTGTCAGTCGTTTACAGGATGTTGAACATGGGGACTCCACACACGCAACGTCCCCCTAACTATCGATCACCATGGTGCTGCCACTTTAAACACCAGCTCCTGATTCTTGCACTCAACACACAAATATATATGTTTAACTTCAGAAGGCAGTTGCCTGTTTTTGAGCGTGAAACCACATGGACGTGTAAGAATCAGATAACTTTGTTTACGCACCTGTACGTTTTCGCTCCAGTTTTAATGAGCACTTTTGTTTTCTGTTCAGGATTTTCCAAAATGTGACCTCCTCATCATCATGGGCACCTCCCTGCAGGTGCAGCCATTTGCGTCTCTCGCCAACAGGTCTGTGTGGAACGAATCTTTTGGAATTCTGGAGGAGAGGAGGGGGGTGGAGGGAAGTGCTGCAAATTACAAGTTTAAAGCTTAAAAAAAGACACGCTGCAGAGAAACCTGTAGAGCTGATGGAAGCCATTGTCTTTATTAGCGCCTGGTGGTCATTCAACATCAGAAAAGCAAAGAGGATGAAAAGAATTAGAGTGCAGGAATTAACTGTTGTTAAAGCTCACTAATAGTCCTCAAAGAAGGTTGGCTAGCTGACTTTCAATAGGAGTATCAGAGCGTATGTGGAGTGAGCAGGAGACTGAAGTTACGCTCAGCTCGTGGGTCAAGAAATGATGATAGTGACTTAATGTAACAAATGAGCTGGAAGATCCCATGATTTTTGGGGCAAGTGTTTTAAAGGTTATGGAAATACTGCAGTTAGATCCAGATTAGCCATGATCTGATTAAATGTCAGCGAAGGGCTGAATGGCCGTCTCCTGTTGTGTAAACCTGGTGTCTAACTCGCTGCCCAGAGCTGTTCTGATGAAAGGTTTCTATTTCAAATGCTGACCTAGAATCATAGAGGTGTACAGCATGGAAACAGACCCTTCGGTCCAACTCGTTCATGCCGGCCAGATATCCTAAATTAGTCTAGTCCCATTTGCCAGCATTTGGCCCATATCCCTCTTAAACCCTTCCTATTCTTATACCCATCCAGGTGCCTCTTAAATGTTGTAATTGTACCAGCCTCCTCCACTTCCTCTGGCAGCTCATTCCATACACACACCACCCTCTGTGTGAAAATGTGGCCCCTTAGGTCCCTTTCATTCTTTCCCCTCTGACCTTAAACCTATGCCCCTCTAGTTTTGGACTCCCCCACCCCTGGGAAAAGGCCTTGACTATTCACCCTATCCATGCCCCTCATGATTTTGTAAACCTCTATAAGGCCACCCCTCGGCCTCCGATGCTCCGGGGAAAACAGCCCCAGCCTATTCAGCCTCTCCCTGTAGCTCAAACCCTCCGACCCTGGCAACATTCTTGTACATCTTTGTGAACCTTGAAATGGTTCAGAAATGTCTTTTCAATGGCTAGCAGACCAGAATTGCAAACAGTGTTCCAATAGGGGCCAAACCAATGTCCTGTATAGCCGCAACATGACCACCCAACACCTATACTCAATGCACTGACCAATAAAGGCAAGTGTATCAAATGCCTTCTTCATGACCTGTGTCTTCTATTTTGCACGCTGATGATCCTGCATTTTCTAGTTTCCATTTTCTCATACTTTATAATTCCGTGGTTTTACACATCGCTCCGGTGCTGAACGTAGTTCCCAATCCATCATGTAACTTCCTGTGGTGTAGAACTACATCGTTGCTAGGTCACAATTCTGGGACTCCCCTTCCTAACAGCACTACGGGAAGTCCTCCTTCTCACAGGGGATAATGGGACTGTCTGTGGTCTAGTAATTCAGAGACTCCAGTTAATACTCCGCGGCTATGGGTTCAAATCCCATTGTGGCAAAGAGTTCAATTCTTTGAATTAGCAAATTTGGAATTGAAAGCTGGTCTAGATTTAGAAACAGGAGGTCTTGTGGCACAGTGATAGTGTCCTAATGAGCTAGAAGGCCTGATTTCAATGTCCCACCTACTCCAGAGGTGTGTAGTACCCTTTCTGAACAGGTATCCTTACCCGGTCTCTCCATATGGTCATTAGATTTTGGATCAGCGTGGGGTACATCAGGGTCTGCCGAATACAAGGGTGAAGTATGGCCCCATCCAGCCCAGCAGCAACACTGTGATCTCTTAACTTCAGTCCTTGCCCTCGCTCCATGCTCTCAACAATGTGTTTGGCTCTGAACTGCCCCTGCAATAAACCGTTAGCTCTGCAAACCCTTCTGCAGAAGAGCCAAACAAGATAGATTGTAGCGGGGCTAAAGAGGAACTCTTCACCACTTTCCCAAATGATATTTAGGGATAAAAACAGAAAGTGCTGGAGAAACTCAGCAGGTCTGGCAGTATCTGTGGAGAGTAAACAGTTAATATTCTGAGTCTGCTATAATTCTTTTCAAAGGTCTAATATGACTCTTCTCTGAAGAACAGTCATACTGCACTTGAAACATTAACTCTGTTTCTGTCTCAATAGATGCTGCATGACCTGCTGAATTTCTCCAGCACTTTGGTTTTTGTTTCAGATTTGCAGCATTTTGCTTTTATTTGAGGCATTTTTGAATAGACAGCAAATGCTGGCTTTGCGCTTAATGCCGACATTAAATTAAAAGCACACACTACAGCATGAAAACGTAAGAAAGTGGCCACTTTAAAAGGTCTAATGTTGACCTTGACTCCATTTCCCAGCCTGTTTCTCATAATTCTAGTAATTCAGAGACTCCAGTTAATACTCCGCGGCTATGGGTTCAAATTTGTTAGCTAAAGATCCACCCACTTTAGCAATCGCATGACAGCAGATGGTGGATATTTAAGCTCTTGTAACCTGGAATAGAAGGTTAGTCTCCGTGAGGTTAACCATGAAACTATCGCTGATTACTTAAAAGTCTGACTACTTCACTCATGTTCCTTTGGGGAACGGTCCTTACCTTGGCTTAAAGGCTGAAGCTGACTTCCTCCTCTTTCTGTGTAATTCTATTTATAACGCTGTGTCGTCTTTATCAACTTGTCCAGCTACTGTAAAAGGATATGTCTGTGAGGGGAGTTGGTGACATATTAGTGATATCACTGGACCTGTAATCCTGAGATTCAGGTGTTTGGTCTGGGGAGCTAGTGTGCGTTAAATTCAATTAATAACTATGGAATGATAAAACCAGTCCCAGTGATGGTGACCATGACAACTCTCACTAATTGTTGTAAAGACCGTCTGTGTGGAGTTTGCACATTCCCCCGTGTCTGCATGGGTTTCCTCCAGGTGCTCCGGTTTCCTACCACAGTCCAAAGATGTGCAGGTCAGGGTGGATTGGCCACGCTAAATTGTCCGTAGTGTTCAGGGATGTGTAGATGAGGTGGATTATGAAGGATGGGTCTGGGTGGGATGCTCTGAGGGACGGTGTGGACTTGTTGGGCCGAAGGGCCTGTTTCCACACTGTAGGGATTCTATGATTCTTGAGCCCTTCTGCTTCACTCATGCCCCTTTAGGAAAGGAAATTTGCCATCCTTACCTGGTCCGCCCTACATGTGACTCCAGACCCTCGACAATTGGTTGACTCTTAACTGCCCTCTGAAGTGACCGAACAAGGCACTCAGTTCAAGGGCAATTAGAGACGGACGCTGGCCTCGCCAATGAGGCGCACATCCTATGAAAGATTTTTTTTAAATTCCCAGATAAAGCTGGAGAAACTTAGCAGATTTGGTAGCAGCCAGGAAGATAAAACAGAGCCAAGTCCAGTGTGATTCTTCTGAAGAGACCAGACCTGCTAAGTCTCTCCAACATTTTCTGTGTTTGTCCTTTAAGTAAAAAGAACTGAAACGGTACACCGCCTTCTTAAAAGGGTGACTGGGGAGGAGAAGCAAATGCTGGCATCCAGGGGTCTTTGCGGTTCAGTGATAGTGCCCAGGAGGCCTGGTTCATGTCTCATTACAACGCTAAACAGGTTGATTGTAAATGCTGACATTTCTGGTGATGCCCACAACACACAGATGTATTTTCTTAAAAGCAAGCACCACCCAACCCGAGGTGAGCCATTACTGAGACTGAGGAGTCTGGCACAGTGAGATTCTACAAGCTTCAATTGAAGCTTCTCTCGTGATATTTGATCAGAGCCGTATGAAAGATACACGCAGCTCCCCACAGAGGTGACTGAATCGCTTGAAATAGATCTGATCGGCGTCTGTGCTATTGCTAGTGACATTGCAGGATGTTGGGATGTTAGAAGAGTGCCGTGGTTCACAAGGGTATTGTGCTAATGATGTTCTCTTCCTCTCTCACTCAGGGTGTCTGACACAACACCCAGACTTCTCATTAACAAGGAAATCACTCAACAGGTGGGCACCCAGCACTAAAAACGCTCCAGCGGAGACATTTCCAACTTGGCTCGCTAGCCTTGTATTAACTCTATCCTACCACCTATCACATTGTGAAAACTTAGAAGTATATTGTAATGTAGTGGTTAGAGAGAGATTTTGCACTTATATAGCACCTTTCAAAACCTCAGAGCACCCCAAAGCGACAATGAGGTAGATTTGAACTGTTGCAATGTTGGGAAATGGGTCCATCAGTTTGTGCACAGCAGGATCCCAGGAACAAGAATGTTGCAACGATAATTGTTGCAAAGATAATTCTATGTCGATTGATTTGAAGGATAAATACTCTAGGGCTAGGACGCCACGGCCAACTGCCTTGTGTTTCTTTGAATAATGCCTTGGAATCCTTTATAGCTGCCTGAAAGGACGGGTGGGTCCGCAGTACAGTTCAGTACTCTGTCCCTGCTGACCCAGGAGGGTGTCTGCTGCAGTACTGTACATCTACTCAGGGCTGGCAGTGCCACCCAAAGTTACTATTGTACCAGACTAACAGCCCAGGGATTGGATCAGCCCCTGAGGCATGTTGTGAAATTGGATTGAAGAAGTTTTGTGATTTGCGGAATAGTTCGACATTGAACATTCCTGGAGTGTCATTAAACAAAAAAGCCCTTCTGAGTTATTAATTTCTTTCAGGGAAGTGATCCTGCCATCTGTACCCAGTCTGGCCTACATGTGACTTTTCATATACCCATTTGTATAAACTGTTGGCTGCGATTATGGGTAATGCCACTACCAGGTGAAATGTTGTACTGGGAAGTTGTTTGACAAATACACATTCAACTTGAAACTACAAACTTCCCTAGTAGAATTGAGATTTTAACAAATTATCATCTTATTCCTACGTCCTTTTTTTTTTTGGCCTTTTCTGATCTGTCTCTAATAACAACCAGGAGATGCCTTCAGTTTCAGAGTTTTGGTTTCCATGGATACAGAAAGCTGCAAATTAAATCATTTTCCTTTCTTTCCATCAGCATGACCCGATGATGGCATTACTAGGACTTGGGAGTTCCCTTGACTTTGATTCCAGCAGAGCCTACAGGTAGATTTTTGTAAAAATAACCATTCTTATTCACGCCTTTGGGTTTAAAATATTTTCAAAGTTTTGGCTAAGTGGTTAGCACTGCTGCCTCGTGGCAGCAGGGACCCAGGTTCGATTCCAGCCTCGGGCGACTATCTGTGTGGGGGTTTGCACATTCTCCCTGTGTCTGTGTGGGTTTCCTCTGGGTGCTCGTTTTCTCTCCCAGTCCAAAGATGTGCAGGTTAGGGTGGATTAGCCATGCTAAATTGCCCCATAGTGTCCGGGGATTGTGCAAGTTAGGTCGGTTAGCCGTAGGGAAATGCAGGGTTACAGGGATAGGGTGGGGGTCTGGGTCGGGTGATCTTTGGAGGACTCGATGGGCTGAATGGCCTCTTTCCGCACTGTAGGGATTCTAGGATTCCACTTAAACGTTAAACTGAATTTGCTGAGCATGGCTGTGGAAAGTTACACTGAGGGAGAATGGAGAGCGGTTGGGCTGCAGGCCTTTTTTTCTGCACTGTGCATTCTGTTATTTGATGGAGTTATAGGAGCAGGAGTTGTTTTCACTGGCTTGAGGATCAATCACATGGATTGAAGATAGCTTGCAAAATAGCAAGTGCAGAGTTGAGAAGAATTTTTTTGATGCAGCAAGATGTTGTGATCCGCAATGCGTGGTCTAACAAAGTGGCAGAAACTGTGACAGTGAGTGCACTTAGAAGCAAGAAGCTGGAGCATCAACAGATCAGAAGGCCATAAGCCATAGGAGCAGAAGTAGGCATTCAGCCCATTGGGTCCTCCATGCTATTCACTGACAGCGTGGTTGATTTGTTTATCCTCCGCTCCCCTTCCTGCCAAATCCCCGTAATCCTTTATTCTCTTTATAATTAGAAAACTGTCGAGCCCAGCCTTAAATGTTGGGCTGTCAAAAAATAATGAGAGAAAATGTGACTTGTTAAAAAGAGACGAGAGCAGATCAAAACCAGGAGATTAAACCAATAGAAGGGGAACAGGAGAAAGATTGGATAATGTAAGAAGGAATCTGTGAATAGAATAGAAGCTGTTGTAAGTACAAGAATGGCTACAATTAGGAATCTTTACAAAAGGTTAGGATTTATTTACAGGATGGTTTGTCCCAGAATTATTGCAACACAGAAAGAGGCTATTCGGCCCATTGTGTAAGCAACAGCCCTCAGAATGAGCTGTCAGTTAGTTCCCTTCTCCTGCCCTTTCCCCAAGCCAGCACTTTTCAAGTCATTTTCTGATTTTCCCCTTGATTGTTTCAATCGAACCTGCCTTGACCACACTCCCAGGCAACACACACTAGATTCCAGCTGCTCGCTGCATGAGGAGGCCTCTCCTCCTGTCACTTTTGCTTCCTTTACCAATTTCTTCAATAGTTGTATCATCTCATTCTCAATCCCTTCAAAGACAGCAATTTTTTTTCCCCTTTCTGCTTTCACTGTGATTTTGAACACCTCTATCAAGCTACCCTTTCTTCAAGCTAAGCGGTCCCAGCTTTTCCATAAGTCATAGTCATACTGCATGGAAACAGATCCTTCGGTCCAACCAGTCCATGCCGAACATAATCCCAAACTACACTAGTCCCACCTGCCTGACCCTGGTCCATGCCCCTCCAAATATTTCCTATTCATGCATTTATCTAAGTTTCTTTTAAACAATGTAACACATCCGCCACTTCCTCAGGAAGTTCATCCCACATGCGAACCACCCTCAACGTAAAAAGTTTGCCCTTCATGTCTTTTTTAAATCTTTCTCCTCTCACCTCAAAAATATGCCCCTGGTCTTGAAATCTCCCATCCTAGGATAAAAGCACCTACTATTAACCTTCTCTGTACCCCTCGTGATTTTATAAACTTCCTACATTCAAGTTCAATTTAATCTTAGAGACTGTTGCAAATGAGAGTTTGGTGAAGTGATTCCTGAGACAAAAAAGTTTCATTTGAGCAGTGAATATAGACATTTCATCTCATCTCTTACGTTTAGATGTATGAAAAATGATCTCATTGAGAAGGAAGTACGAGGAAGACTAATGGAATGTTAGCCTTTATTGAAGAGGATTTGACTACAGGAGTAGTGAAGTCTTGCTTGAATTGTATAGAAGCTTGCACACTCGGCGAAGGTTTTATTGGTATAGATGGAATGCAACCAAGGTTCACTAGAAACAAAATCAGAAATTGCTGGAGAAACTCAGCAGGTCTGGCAACATCTGTGGTGAGAGAGAAAAACCGAGTTTGCGTTGCAAGTCCAGAACTGAACAGCTCTGAAGAAGGATCAGTAGTCTTGAAACGTTAGCTCTGCTTTCTCTCTACAGAAGCTACCAGACATGCTGAGTTTCTGCAGCAATTTCTGTTTTTGTTTCAGATCTTCAGCATTCAGCTTGTTCCTGGGATGGCAGGACTGTCCCGAGGGGAGAGATTAGGCTGACAGGACCTAGATTCTCCAGCGTTTCAGAATTTGGGAGCTAGTCTCATTGAAAGCTACAAAATACTTGAAGGGGTAGGCCAGGCTTTCCCTAGTTTGGAGAGTCCAGAACCATTGGGCACAATTTAAAAATAAGAGGATGTCATTTAGGAACAAGATACAGAGTAATGTTTTCACTCAGGTTTGTGAGTCTTTTGCATTCTTTTTTCCAAAGGGGACAACCTTTGAGTATATTTAAAGTAGACATTGATAGATTTCAATTGTCAATGGCAAAAAGGGTTATGAGGGTAATGTGGTAAGGTGCATTGATGTGTTCAATCCAGCATGATTGTATTAAATGGTAGAGCAGGCTCAATGGGCTGAATGGCCTACTCTTGTTCCTGTAACATTCTAAGGCAGTGGTGGATTGAGAAGTTGGATACATGGTCTCAGAATAAGGAGTCAGTGACTTAGGACTGTAACAAGGAGAAATTTCTTTAGTCAGAGCGTGGTGGATCTTTGGACATTAAATCATAGAATCCCTACAGTGTGGAAGCAGGCCATTCCAATCATCGAGTCCACACCGACCCTCCGAAGATCATCCCACCCAGATCCAACTCTGTACCCTATCCCTGTAACCCTGCATTTCCCAGTGGCTAACCCACCCAGCCTGCACATCCCTGGACACAATGGGACAATTTAGCACGGCCAATCCACCCTAACCTGCACATCTTTGGACTGTGGGAGGAAACCGGAGCACCCGGAGGAAACCCACGCAGACACAGGGAGAATGTGCAAACTCCACACAGACAGTCGCCTGAGGGTGGAATCGAACCCTGGTCCCTGGCGCTGTGACGCAGCAGCGCTAACCACTGAGCCAGGATTCTGAATCCTGGAATACTGTGGACCCTCAGTTGTTGAGTATATCCAAGACTGAGATCAAAGGAATATAATAATCTCGAGAGAGAGAGAGAGAGAGAGAGGAGCTGAAGTAGAAGATCAGCTATGTTTCTAAGTAAGCGGCTAGGAGAGAGCTGTGCAATCAATCAATTATTATCAAATACATCATGTAGTTGAGAATGAAGACATTCTGGCACGTTCCCCCGGCAGTGCATTGGTTGGTCAGAATTAATTCACCAACCAAGGATCTCAGCACCTTTTCCTAATGCAGTATAAATTGTTTCTCTTTTTGTGATTTGCCATTCTTATATCTGTCCTGACATGTGCAAGACAAAAGGCGTTGACAAAATGTGCGTTTTTCTTTACCACCAACATTTAATGAGCTAACCACGAGTTTCACTCTGCTCTCCCCATAACTAGCCCTGTCATTCTCTCCCCCTTAAGGCGCTTCCCCACTCCCCTTTCATACTGAATCTGTTTTTCCCATCCTTTCAGCTAAGTGCATCCCAGATCATAATTACTCACTGTATTTCAAAAAAAAACTCTTAGTCTCAGCTACTTTTTTATCAATAGCCTTCAAACTGCATCTCCTGGTTATTGACGGTGATGAATATGGATCTATAGTGATTGAGCTGAATAACATAGATGTATTTAAGAGAAAGCTGGGTAAACACATAGGTGAGGAAAGTGTAGGAAGCTATACCAATGGAGTGAGGTGAAATAACATGGGCATTGTTGTGATTTTACTTGAAGATACCGATAAAGTCACCTTAAGTCTTGCCAGACCATGGGGCAGCTCTCTGATTAGAGAGAGAGACAGATTACTGGTGATGGTTTAACCTGAGGGTCACCATACCTCAGGTGAGGGGAGAGATTGTGAAAGAGAGTCCTTCATGGTAATCTCAGCTGGTGTGGGAATCGAACCCATGCTGCCGGCCTCCCTCTGTATTGAAAACCTGCTCTCTAGCCAACTAAGCTAACCAACCACTATAGTGTGGAGACAATGTGGAGTACAGAGGCTGGAAGCCAGAGTCTATAGGTGTGAGGCTGGAAAAGCACAGCAGGTCAGACAGCATCCGAGGAGCAGGTAAGTCAACGTTTCGTGCTGAAACCCTTAGTTAGCGTTGTCAGAATGGTGAATACGATAAGAAAATGTAGGAAGTTTTCTCAGTCTGAAGCAGAGAGAGAGGGGTAATGCTGCTATTGTCTTTCAAGTCACTCGGCCAGCATTGGTATCTCTGTAACCTCCTCCAGCCCTGTGAGATCTCCGTATTCCTCTGAATCTGACCTAATGTGTATCATTCTACTGTTGGCAGCCAGAGCTTCGGCAGCCTGGGGCCCTAAACCCTACAGCGCATTCCTTTGACCCTTTCTGCCTCACCTTCCTTTTTAAGGAGCTCCTAGCAACGTACCTGTTGACCAAGTTTTGGTCACGTGTGATAAAGTGGGGGGGCATGGTGGCTCATAGCGCCAGGAGCCCGGGTTCGATCCCACCCTCGGGCGACTGTCTGTGTGGAGTTTGCACATTCTCCCTGTGTCTGCATGGGTTTCCTCCCACAGTCCCAAAGATGTGCAGGTTAGTGTTACCCATAGTGTTCAGGGATGTGTAGGTTAGTGACTTATAGGGGTTGGGTCTGGGTGGGATGCTCTGAGGGTCGGTGTAGACTTTCTGGGCCGAAGGGCCTGTTTCCACACTGTAGGGATTCTATGAATGAAAAATATTGCACCCCTCCCCCATAAGCACTAACTCCCGGCCTTGGTGGCTGTGTGTCACATTCTGGTTCAGTTTTGCACCTGGGAAGCAGCTATGGACCTTGATGGTGCAGTATAAGTACAGATTGCTCCTACCTGCTGCACACTGGGATGTGATGTGATGTAATGTACCTTTGTCACACTGACCTCTCTGTATCGCCTCTTAAATCTATGTCGGCAAGACAATGCAGGTGGAGATTTGGTTTAATGGGATGTCCTGAAGGTTACTTCTCTGCCCCGAAATGACGTTGTTTTGTCTCTACAGGGATGTGGCTTATGTGGGTTCATGTGATGATGGCTGTCTTGCTCTCGCTGATCTTTTGGGTTGGAAGGTATTGTAATTGCTTCACTCACCTCCCTTTACCCACCCACCTTGATCGCTGGCCGATGCTTAATGAGGAGTGCCTCAGTGGTTAGCACTGCTGCCTCACGGCGCCAGGGACCCGGGTTCGATTCCACCCTCGGGCGACTGTCTGTGTGGAGTTTGCACATTCTCTCCCCGTGTCTGCGTGGGTTTCCTCCGGGTGCTCCGGTTTCCTCCCACAGTCCAAAGACGTGCAGGTCAGGGTGGATTGGCCATGCTAAATTACCCATAGTGCCCAGGGATGTGCAGGTTAGGGTGGATTAGCCATGGGATATGCAGGGTTACAAGGAGTGGGTAGGGGTGGGATGCTGTACGGAGAGTCGGTGTGGACTTGATGGGCCTACTGGCCTGATTCCGCACTGGTGATTCTATCATTGACATGACAAGTCACTATGGTAATGTCATTGGACAGTAATCCAGAGGCTCAGGCTAACTCCTGCCTCAGTAGCTGAACGTGAATTCACCCAATACACTTCATTCATAAAAATGTGGAATTGAAAGCTAATCAATGATCAAGCCTTTTATCATGTGACCCTACATCGCCTTATGTGGCTCAGTGTCAGTTTTCATTCAGTAACGCTCCTGCAAAGCACCTTGCGATGATACATAACGTTGAGGATGCTATATGAATGCAGGTTTTTGTTGATGTTGAAATTGAGGGGAAAATGTTTGGATACCGCACCCCCTGCATAATGTGGTTGGCGTGTTCCACCACTACCTCCCCATGGAAACCCTCTGTCTAATTGTGTCCGCAGGAAGAGCTTGAAGATATTGTGAAGAAGGAACATGCCATGATCGACAGTAAGACTGAGGGTGCCCAGGACACAGGCAAAGCCCCAGCCGCAGACATGAAGAAAGATGACCCCGAGGCAAGGGGGCATGAGCCGGCAGCAAGACAGCAAGACAGATAAACCAGCTGGTTAAAACGGTGCCAGTCAGTCTGATCACCACGCAACCCAGCCGAGAGGCTGTCAGTGCAGGGGAGATACTCTAGTAATTTATATTAACTACCTTAAGAGTGACTGTACAACTATGGGACTGATTCTCCCTCCGCACCTATTACACTTTCAACATTATAGCTTCTAACATACATGGTTCTTATCACAGTGTGCTGTCACACCTCTAGATGTCACTGGTTTTGCATTTCCTTTTGATTGTAGACATCTAATAGGGTGTGGGTTAGTCTAGCCACCATCCTCTCGGGCAGATGTGTCTGCCGTAATCTGAGCAATGGGAGGCTTTTTATTTCTTTGCAACCCTTGTGTCTCGTTTCCCCTAAACCAAGCTGGGGCCAGAGCACACCTGCCTGAGAATCAGCTCCACTTAAGACAGTTTAAAGACAAGGTTTTTGTTTTTGGCCAAAAGCTCTGCATGCACGTTTCTGAGAGAGAGAGAAAATGACTGGCAACTGGCGATTAATGGAGAATTGAACTGCATAACTAAATGATGGAAAATGGCTCAGAATCTAGAGTACTGAAGTTTCAATTTTAAATGCCTTAACCCTAACACCTATAAATTCTTCTCGTTGCAAAGAGACAGGTAATAATAATTATTGATGTAAATATGTATAAATAAATTACAGGATGGCACATTTCTCATGCAACTGCTGCAAATTAGATTCACTTGTGAGTTTATTTTGATTACTGCTGATCATTTTAATCTTAAACATTTACATGTTGTCTCTTTAATGTGCATATATCATACAGTGTGATTCATTCAGGCATCTTGGTTCTAATAGAACATAAGAGGCTATTCAGCCCCTCAAGCCTGCTCCAACATTTGATACGATCACAGCTGATCTCATCTCAATCTCAACTCCCCTTTTCTGCCTGCTCTCCATAATCTTTTAAACTGTTTATTAATTAAAAATCTATTTCCTCCTTAAATTTATTCAGTGGCCCAGCACTCATTGCACTCTCACGTTGTGATTTCCATTGATTCACGAGCCTTTGAGAGAAGTAATTTCTCCTTGTTTTAAATCAGATTCCCGTTATCCTAAACCTGTGACGTAGATTACCCCAGAGAGAAAACATCCACTTTGTCAATTCCCTTTAGCATCTTCTGTACCTCGATTCGATCTCCTCTCATTCTTCTAAACTCCAGACAATATAGGCCTAAACTCCTCCTATGACCCCTCATTTTTTTCATCTCTCAAATCAATCTGGTGAACCTAAATCTGAACTGCCTCTATGCAACTACATGCACTAAAGGGCACTAAAACTGTGTGCATTACTCCAGGTGCAGTCTCACTAATATTTTGCACAGTCTGAGCAACGCTTCCCAATTTTTACACTCTATTCCTTTAGCAATAACAACCAAAACTGCGTTCCAAGAGGTTCTGAAGTCAGACGTCAATCTCTTCCCTCTGGCTGAGAACAGAGTGTGAGCTTCCTTAAGCCACTCGTTATTGAGGAGTGATTTTTGGGCCCACTGCTGGGTTCTTGCTGTCATATGATGCTATTGTAGCACGGGTCTATCTGTTCTGATAAGCTCAGGCCAGATTTCATGGTATTTCTTCCAATTTGATTCAATAAGGCTATGGACACCATGATTGCACAGATAACCAGTCTGCTGTCCTACCAGCAGAGCCTCATGCACACAATGACAGGAATCACTGGTACGAGGCTTATCTGCATATCCTTTAAAGATTTCCTCCACACAGACCGTTTGGTAGAGCTTTCTGGAGCCATAGTCCTGGGAGGAGTGTCATAGCATTCTGGGGTTGCCATTGGCCAGAAACTCAGCAGGCCTCACCACATAAAACAACAAGACCAGGTCAGAGGCTGGGAATCCTGCAGTGAGTAACTCACCGCCTGACTCCCCACAGTCTGTCCACCATCTACAATGGATGGATTACTCCCCACTTGGCTGGATGGAGGCAGCTCCACACCATCCAGGACAAAGCAGCCCCCGCTTGATGTGGACCATGAACACTCAGTCGCAGCAGTGTGTACCATCTACAAGATGCACTGCAGAAATTCACCAAAGATCCTCAGGCAGCACCTTCTAAACCCACGACCATTTCCATGTAGAAGGACAAGGGCAGCATGTGCATGGGAACACCAGCACCCTGCAAGTTCCCCTCCGAGCCCCTCACCATCCTGACTTGGAAATATATCACCGTTCCTTCAGTGTCGCTGGGTCAAGATCATGGAAGTCCATCCCTAACAGCATTAGGGATTCAAGGGAGTTAGAGAATAGATTTGCCATCTTGTAATTAAATGATAAAATAAAGTAAGAATAAATTGACTACAACAGTTCAAGAAGACAGTTCAACTCTATCTGCTCCAGGGCAATTAGGGAATGCACAGAAAGGGAAAATTTGACCCATCTCCCCTGTGAAAGCTCTTTAAAAGTGCTATTAATCCAGTTAGTCCTACATTGCACATTAAGAAAAACTTGTTCAAAAGACTTGCTGTAGAGTCATACATCATGGAAATACACCCTTTGGTCCAACAAGTCCATGCTGACTAAGTTAGTCCCACCTGCCTGCACTTGGCCCATATCCCTCCAAATCTTTCCTATCCATGTACTTATCCAAAGGTCTTTTAAATATTGTAACTGTGCCCACATCCACCACTTCCTCTGGCAGCTCATTCCACACACGACCATCTCTCTCTGTGTTTAAAAAAAAATGCCCCGGCGTCGTTTTAAAAATCTTTCTCCTTTCACTTTAAAAATATGTCCCCTTGCCTTGAAATCCCCCACCCTAGGGAAAAGACACCTGCCATTCACCTTATCTATAACCCCCATAATTTTACAAACCTCTATAAGGTTACCCCTCAATCTCTGTCCCCAATTCTAGACCCCGCCCCCTCCCAACACACACACAAAGAAAAACAATATTTCAGAATCCACCCTATCAGACCCTCTCAGCATTATATAATTTGATAAGATCACCCCTTCATTCTTTTAAATTCCAATGTGAGCCAACATTTGTTGCCCTAATGGTCTTTGAACTGAGAGACTCACTTGGCCGTTTCAGAGGGTGGTTAAGAGTCAACCACATTGCTGTGGGTCTGGAGTCCCATGTAGGCCCAGACTGGGTGAGGATGGCAGATTTCCTTCCCTAAACGGCATTAGTGAATCTGATAGGTTTCCACAACAATCCAGCAGTTTCGTGGTGGCTATAACTGAGACTCGCTTGTAATTACCCCAGATGTCATGTTGAGATTTGATCTCCTATCCCTGGGTTATTAGCCCTGTGATCTGGATCACAAATGCGACACCATATTGGCCAAATCTTGTGGGTTTTTATTGGCTAAGTGTCAGTATCATCCCTCAGTGAAGCTAAATGAGTTTTCTTGTTGCATCTTACCAAACTTGTTTCATTTACCCACCTGCTCCTATGGCACCCATCTTGGTTCTACCCCTACTCCACGACTTGTTGTACTCAGGATAACTCACCACTGTCAGAATATCCCAGAATCCCTCACTCTGGCAGCCATCTTTAAACCGTTGTAATACGCCAGGCTGAGCATTGTCAGACTGGACCTGCACTGGGGATGGCAGAGAAAGGAAAAATTTGCCACCCCCTTTCGTAGGCTTCTGCTGTAAGGGGTGGTACGGAGCTGGCACATCCTTTTCCCACACCCCCAGGACCAGCAGTGGAGGGCATGATGGTCTCAGCCTGGGTCAATGCAGACTCGATCATCTGGAGGACTACCCAGCCCAGTAGGCACAAACTCAATGTCCTCCTCCACTTCACCAGAGAGAATCTCCCCTTGATACCTGATGTAATCTGAATCTCGCACGATTCTGCCACATTCTTTGCCACAGCCCATGTCGTTCAGGCCCCGATAAACTTCCATCCTCTGGCTACTTAACCCATTTCCTTTCCATCCTGAGATAGTAGGAACTGCAGATGGGACTAGTTTAGTTTGGGATTATGGTCGGCATGGCCTGATTGGGCTGAAGGGTCTGTTTCTGCGCTGTATGACTCTAAGGGAAATATACACAAAAGGAAAGCAGTACAGGATGGAAAGGAGACAACAAGGTGCAGGGCTGGATGAACACAGCAGGCCAAGCAGCATCATAGGAGCAGAGAGGCTGACGTTTCGGGCCTAGACCCTTCATCAGAAAAGGGGGAGGGGAAGGGGGTTTTGAAATAAATAGGGAGAGAGTGGGAGGCGGATAGAAGAGGGATAGAGGAGAGGATAGGTGGAGAGGAAACAAACAGGTCGAAGAGGCGGGGATGGAGCCAGGAAAGGTGAGTGTAGGTAGGGAGTTAGGAAGGGGATAGGTCAGTCCAGGGAG